TATATTATTATTATTATAGTATTATTGAACACAATAGTAAGAACTACAATTATGTCAATTCTGCATTAGAACTGCATTAGAGAAATTTCTTTGCAATTCTGCATTACTCAGAAAAGATACTTTAGTGGTTATTACAAGCATACTGTAAAACCAGGAAGGGAATTCTTAATAGATTTTACAATTGCTGAAGCAATTTACCTGCTGTCTTGTTTATAGTGATCCCAGTCTCTGTGGTCATTTCCATTGCTGAAGGCTGAATAGGACCTTTTCCTAGAGTCACTTTTCTTATAAGCATCTCCCTGATGCCTGTCCTTACGATGATCATGGTATTGTGACAAATGTCTATCAGAAGAATAACTGTCCCTGCTACTATCATCATGGTTTGTATTCTCTTTCAGTCTTTCAACATCTGTTTAATAAAGCAAAAGTTAAGTCTCATACACTATACATTTTTTTTCTTCACCGATTCAAACAGCACTTGTACCTTTGAGATTTAAAGCAATGTGAAAGTGGCATTATAATTTCACAGAAACAAGATCTAAATAATTGAAAGACAAATGCACTAATGTGAGTGAACTGAGAGAAACCTCAGAAGTAAACAGAAGGCAAGCAAGCTAGAAATGTAGATATGTAGAGCTGAGAAACTAAAATTTTCCACCTTACAAACTGAATGGAGAGAATCAGTGTGGTCCAAATGAGCAGTTAGTAGAGACCAGGTGCCTTTAGTAGAGCAATTTTAAACGGAATGGTAGGAAATTCCTCTCTAAGGAGAGCCCTAGCATGAACATCAGATTTAGAGGTACACTGTTAATGAAAGATTTTTAGTGGCATTCCTAAAAAACATTATACTAATTTTAAACCCATTATATCATACTCAAGGTTTTACATAACAAGTATTACAAGAAGGCAAGTGTGGGAGCACAGAAAAACAGTATTGTCAACAATAAAAGACATCCCATATAACTGCTAACCATGAGTTCAGGGAATATCTTTCTTGTGATTTGGTGAAATTACAACTGCCACAAACAGGTACAGAGACTTCAAGAAGTATACAAGTGCTGAGTCAGCCTCTCTCCCTCCTAAAAATTGAATACAAAAAAGTATTTGGCATTTGGCTTTTTTTAAAAATTTATTTATTTACTTTAAAAGAATGGCCAAATAACTTGCAACTAAAATCAGTAAGTACCATGTTCAGTCCATGCTCAGTTGAATTTCATCAGCAAACTAGTGAAGTTACACTAAGTCATCCTATCTCTAAGGTATCCAGTAGTATGGGAGTTCTAAGAGACAGTTTTAAGCTTATTTCATTTTACATACTGTCATTAAAGATATCCAGCACAATAATATGCTCAAGATTTCTTACCTGGATTTCTAATTACATGTGTATTCACACTGCTGCTAATATTATGGTCAACGTGTTGCTAAAAGAGACAAGTACAAGAATTGTCATTGATAAATCCCAAAGTTGCATCTGAATTCTTCAGAAAATATCCTAAGAAAACAGACTAGTTTACTATGAACAGTAAAATACACTTCAAATGTATTGAGTATACTAAATTGATACTTAATAAAACAGTTACAAAACTTAGAATATATATTTTTATATTTAGAGAGTTGGAAAGTATTACTTGAGATTCTTGGCGTTTTTTGATTGCATGTTTATACAGCTTGTGCAGCTTTCTGGCATCAAATTCTGTAAACTTAGAGACAAAAATCCACAAGTTTCTGAGGGGAAAAAAAGAGAGGTTATAATTCTTCTATATATAATTTTTTTATTGTATCATACAACAGAATATAGACTTAAATGAAATGATTTCAACAGTACTTCAGTAAACTGAAATAATTGTAAAGTCTGTTACACAGAACATTACCTAGCTGCACAGCAAACATTACTTAGCTTTTTTCAAACATTTGAGAAATTAATTCCTTTAATAAATTGCCATTTTGTAATAATTATCACGACTGCAGAATGGAAAGTGCATGAAAAGTAGTATTAATGGCAATTCTGTAAACAGAATGATTTGTGCAAATACATAAAAATGTAGTTTTCCATTTGTTGTGCAAATCTTCTGAAAGATTGTTTGAAATATGTCAGAAAACTTGAGTATTTACTACTCAGTAAATGTTCTTCCAAACCTCAAATCTCTTTTCTATAGAAATTTGACCTACATGCCTCATTTCCTACAGATATCGGGGACAAGATTTTTCCACAGAATTCCAAAGCCTAGTCAAAACTTTTGAAACCAAATGATAAATCTCAAAAAGAATGGAAGTAGCATGGAAAAAATTCTGATCCTAATCTATACTAGGAAAGAAGAAAGAAAAACAAATCAACTCTTTTAGTGTCTAGAAGCCTAAACCCTAAAGACCACGTTTGCTTCTATGATCGCAGACACCAGATCTAAAGTCTAGAATTCTTTAAGCAAAGTTTACAGGTGGAGTGCTTAAAAGACTACAGAATACTACTGTTCTAATTAGTGTTTAGTTCAGAAACATCTCAAGCGTGTAGTCTCAAGAAGCATCTATTTGCTCTTTCACTGTGATAATTTAAACATTATAGTTTTGTCCTAGAGGTTTGCAAGAGTAGATACAACCAGCTAATGGTGTGCCCAATGACATCTGTATAAGAAATACAGGATGAATACCTTTACTAAATTCTATGTCTTATTAAAGACAGATGAAATACATATTTTAATAATCTATATATGGTACTGTAGCATTATTATGAATTAATATTATAGTAGCTCTACTATGAATTTCCACTTAAAGAAATATAATGTTTACCGAGGTGTCTTTAAGACATGGATATTGTTTTTGTATTTCAGTTCACCCTAATATTTTGAAGTAAAACAAGTACAAACAGCAGAAATATTCTGTTAATAACAGTCTGCAAGGAAATTAAACACTTGACTGAGTGCCGTATATGGAAGAGCAGGATAGATTTGCAGCCATAAAGGATTAAAGTGCACGTTATAATAAAACTAACTCAAATTGTATTAAGAACTTAACAACAAAATATAAGTTTATAAATCAACATTTTTCATATTTTTTTTCCAAAGTTAGCACCTCACAAATGCATAAGAACACTTGAAACATCCTTTATTTTGAAATGCATCTCTGAATATGTTATGATAAATGTTTTTATAAAGTCATGGGTAATAACTGATTTCATTTTAGAGTTTATTTTTAAGAAGAATAAAGGTTTCTGCAACTTAAAATCATTCAAACTTCAACACACAAATTTATAATGGCCTATTTTTTAGCATGAATTAAAAAAAAAAAAAAACCAACCAAACAACCCAAACTTCAAAGTTGAAAAAGCCAGATTATTTAATGATAAGAACTCTTTTCCACTAAACATTAAATATACTCTAAATAGAGTTATTTTCTGATTGCTTTTGGTTTTAAGAAGTGAGATGACACCACCTACTGGACAAAATGCATTGCTATCCAAGTATGAAAAAGTTAATACATTAAAAGGTAGAGCCATTTATAATCAACTTTTTATAAGTCCTTATTTAATACAGCAGAAAAATACAAGAAAAGGAGAATAAGAAACAAGAAAAATAATTTAAAACTTTTTGGCTTAACAGAAGTTATTATGGATTTTCAAGAAAAATCATGCAGAATAACTTACTTTCTCCACTGTTTAATTTGCTCAGGTTTTTTGTACTCCTTTAGACATTCAGTAATGTGGTCCCCAATTTTGATTAAGCACTGTCTAGTATGCTCCAGCTGCTCCCTTTCAGAAAGGCCTTTCTCTGGTCTATCCAGTTGTTTCAATGCTGCTTTGACAGGCCTCATTCTTTCTTTGCACTATAAAATGTAAAAAAGGAATACTTTCAGCACAAGTATATAGGACAAGACTTATTTTACTTTTTAGGACCTCAAGAGCTATACAAACTCAGTGTCAAGATGAAGTATGAGAATGTTTAAAATATTTTAAGTAGATACTTTCTGCAACAATTAAACTTGGCATTCAAATGAGGATCAGCATTCCTTCTCTGAGCAGTTTTTAAGCCTGAGTTCTATGCAGATACTGACAGAAGCAGAGCTATCTAGGATAAAGCTAGTTTAGGTGTGTCTAAATTAGTAACAGTGATGAAAATACAGACATATATTTCATATGTGCATTCGTGAATTTTCACACTAATGTGAGCAGACATGCTCCTTCAGCCTGTGGAGGAATCCACACTGGAATAGGTGGATGTGTCCAAATGAGGCTGTGACCTTGTGGGAAACCTGCAATGCAGCAGGTTTGCTGGCAGGACTTGTGACCTCACAGATGACCCACACTGTCTGTTCCTGAAGGACTGCATCCTGTGGAAATGCTGGAGCAGTTAATGAAGAACTGCAGCCCATGGGAAGGACTCACATTGGAGAAAATCGTGGAGGACTGTCTCCCATGAGAGGGATGCCACGCTGGAGCAGGGGAAGAGTGTGAGGAGTCCTTCCCCTAAGGAAGAAGGAGCAGCAGAAATGTTTGATGAACTGACTACAACCCCCCCTTCCCTGACCCCTGTGCCACTCTGGAGGAGGAGGCAGGAAAAAGCGGGAGTGAAGTTGAGCCCATTAAGAAGGGAGGGGTGGAGGGAAGGTGTTTTTAAGATTTGGTTTTAGTTCTCTCCTACTTGTGCTTTCATTGGCAATAATTTAAATTAATTTTCCCCAAGTCAAGTCTGGTTTGCTTGTAACGGTAACTGCTGATTGATCTCTCCCTGTCCTTATCTCAACCCACAAGCCTTTTGTTATATTTTCTCTCCCCTGTACAGCTGAGGAGGGGAGTGATAGAGCAGCTTTGGTGGGCACCTGTGTTGATAACCCTTCACTGATCTAAGATTTTACTGGCAATAGATATCTGTATTATAATGCCTAATAGCAGAATCAAGAACATCAGAAATTGTGTTCATTTAGAATATCAAGTGTAAACACTAAGTTATCAACAAGGGACTTACCACACTGAATGTCTTCTGATCCAGTTCTTCAGATTCTTCAGATATAGGAACTGGTTCACTAGTTGCAGTAATATGAACTGGAATATCCAATAATGAAACTTTTTTATTTTTTTCTTTATTTTCAGATTTGATTTCATTTACCTAAGAACAAAATATGAAAATGTAACTGATAAGGAAATCTCATTTTTGGGCTGGAATTATACTGTAATTAGGCAAAGTAATTACTGCATTATGTTCAATAATAATGGGAAAATAAAATCTGACATTCAATGACAGTACCTTTTACTTTCTCTCTCCAAGGGATGAAGGAGAATGGACAAGTGTCTTGCTTGCATCACTTGCATTCTCAGTCCCACTAAGCTATGCATCTTTAAAGAGGTAATATCCCATTTCATTTGCATGTCCTTGTAGTTACAAGTGGTAAAAATAAAACTTCAAAAGATGCAGAAGATTTCAATGAAATGACAACTGTGAAGTAAATGATCCAAAATACCTTTTCAACTCAAAATCATTCACAAAAACCTGGTGGCCTTTTCTAGTGCTACATAAGAAAAATAAACCTAGTTACCTTTTCTTCCTTTATTTCTTTTTCTTTCTGTGTGGATTCTTTTACTTTGTTGTCTCTCTTTTCTTTAATATTTTTTAATTCTTTCTTATTGTCTTTTTCTTTTTTCTCCTTTTTCAAATCCCTCTTATTTTCTTTTTCTTTTGTCTCTCTTTTGTCTTCAGCTTCCTTCTTTATACCAATATCTGGCTCAGGCTTTTCATTTTCTTCTTCTGCTTTTATTTTTTTATGTGGATATTTCACTGAAACAATCTTGTCCTGCAATACACAAACATATATGTCACATCAAATTGAGTTCCTAACTATACAAGTTTTGTAACCATCAGATTAAATGTACTTTTTGTCTGTACATTTTTATCTGTCATGTTACATTAAAATTGCATTTCTAGCAGATACAATGCTCAAGTCTTTAAAGAACAATGAAATTGCACAATATCACTTGTAATTTGGTGACATTGTTTTATGATATTATAATTTGGAAAACTAATCATAAAGTCTGAGCTACAAGCTTATTAAATTAAAATATATAATCTTCCATGTGATTATATTGATGCAATATTGACTGCCACAGAAGGAGGATGCCATTCAAGTGCTTTAATTTTATTAAGTCAAACAGAAGATCAAATAGAAAGTGTTACTAATAGAAACAACTGAATAGCTATCTTTACAATATGAATGATGTTTACCTCATTATCCTCATAATCTTCATCAGATTTTTCTGAGGGTGGTGATGAGGAGTCACTTTTTATTTCTTTAATTTTTTCAGCCTTTGTTGTTCTATTCTTCTTAGTTCTTGTTTTCCTCCTCTTTGAATTGCCCTGAATGCAAATTAGTACCTCTATTATGCAAACTGACAAGTGTCTTTCCACCACTGTTGCAGAAAAAGATTTGGGTTTTTATGTTAAAGAAAGCATTCAATTTATTTATTGCCACTAATGACCACCACTTTTCTCAGGACTGGAAAGCGAGCCTAATGCAACAACAGAGAATATATACAAATAAGAGATAATAAAGCAACATTAAACTCACAATTCATTCCTTGAGTTAGTCTCATATAATATGATTAGCAATACAGCGAAAAATTACACAAAGCAAAGAAGAGTGGAACTAAGAATAAACAAGTATCTGCTGACGTGCCCATAAGCATATTATGCTATCTTGCTACTGAATATCAAGCTTTACTTACTGCACCAGTAAATCTTTGCACTTCTTTTCTTGCAAGGTCTTTATTCAGTAATTTAATGAGGTAATCTGCACGGGTCTGTAACTGCTTGGCCTGGGGCTTCTTATCTGGATCATCAGGTAAAATCTGAGGAGAGCAATGGTAGTATCAACTATAAGTACATATTATAAAATTAGGAAGCTGCTTGTCTGGAGCACTGGGAACAGAAAAAGCTGAGTTAAAAAAAAAGGTAAAAAAACTAATCCACTCCAGCTATACCTGACCAATATGCCAGTATGCCTCAAGGAATGGAGAATTTCTTAACCGTTTTATTCTTCCCCAAACACATAAATAACGTAGCCTTGGAAATGGTCTCACAAAGTTTACAGTAAACTCAAGAAACTAGCCTCATTTCTGTTTCCACTCTCATAGTTTATCTAAAAAAATTCAGAGCTCCTGTACTAGTGTTATCCACAGATCTCCTAGTTCTGCCTTGTGCTTCTAAATGCATTAACTCATTACCACAGAATATTTCAGAAGACAAAAATATAAATGAGTGGTTTCATAAAACAAGCAAACTAATGGAAGGCAGGGGCAGGATATCATTAAACAGTGTTGTATACAACCCTGGCTCCTCACATACCAAAGCTACAGGTTGTAGGAAATGTCATTGAGTTTGCTTCACTCCAGCCTTTCCCTAAATGTTTCTCAATACTTCTAAGCAGCCACTGCACTACTTCTAATCTGATGAGTATAGCTATTTTCATGTTGCAAATGAAAGACAGTTTCAAGCAAAGAAACCAGGGATAGGAAAACCAAACCAAAACCTGCAAACAATGTTCCCTCCATAAGATCAAGAATAAAATTAACAAAAATAGAGAAGCAAAAGATGGAAGAGGAAGAATTCAAGTGACAGAGATCCAAATACATAGAAATACAGAAACATAACAGACCCTAAGAAGGTATACTTCAACTGAATACACAAAATCTTGAAATCTAATAATTTACCAGAAGGATACAAAATAGTACAACTGACCTATAACTTATGTGCAACTTCAGTTATCATAAAATAAGTTCTTTTAGTAACTGTTATTATTAGCATTATTACCTAAACAAAAAAAGTCCTTGATGAAATTTTGTAGATGACATACCTTCTGTGTCAAACTTAGATCAGGATCCATTTTTATCATTTCCCAGCTGCCATAGCCATATTCATAGATACCTATTAACAGATTGGAATCATCTTCCTTACCCCAATCTATATCAAAATGAGCTGCCTTGGTGTGGCATGGGATGACATATCTAGTAGAAATAAATTAGAAACATAAATAAGCAATTTTACCAAATTTAGCAAGGAAGAGGGGAACATGCCACCCATCACTAAGATCTTGGTATATTTAGGTAAGTAATCCAGAAATCTATTAGGTTTTCTTACACTTTCTATAAAATATTTCTTGAAAACAGTACCAAAACATGTTTTAAAGCAGATCAAGATTAAGATATAAAAAACAACAGACATTTATCTGTGGCCATGGATTGAGTTAGAACTGGCTAACCATGAAGATAAGCTTAAAACATAACTCAAGCGTAACTGTTAACTGAATAAGCAGATAGTCTAGGGACTATGATACACAAAGTAGAAAGCTAAAAAGTTCAGAGTGCTACAACTACCAACAATTACCATCTGCTCCACTTTGACAAATATTGCTTTCTCTCAGGCAGAGGTGACACAAAGCAGCTCCTCGATAAGGCTAATTTCTAGTCTGGAATAATTAAGAGTAACTGAACCCACTCCCCAATGAATACATTTAAGAAGCCAAAGCAAATACTGGCTTCTAAGGAGAGGGAAGATAGAATAAAGAAAGGATGTGGAGCAGATTGCTGCTGCCAGTTCTTAGAGGGAATGGAGCGACACTGGTGTCACAGCATGCTTAGAGTCTGGATTTCTTAAATATATGCATAAAAGCCTTGAATAACTTTATACATTATGGCTTTCTTTAGGAAAAAAAACCCCAAAACCAAATACCTTTTCCTTTCTTCTGGATCTGAAGGAATGGATTTGTGCAATGGTGCCAACTCTTCTTCATGAGAGATGACTAGCTTTGCATTCACTTGCACTCCTGAAATTCGGAATGTTGGGCCTTTAACTTTCCCAAGTCTACCTCCTTAAAATAAAGGACCAAATTATTAAAATATTTAGCCTTTATGTGTATCTTACATACAAACATAAAGAAAAAAGAAAGTTTGATGCTATGGCAGCAGACATTCAATAATAGCAAATTACTTTTTCTTAACCAAACACTTTTATTAAACTGCAGAATCTCAGGGTCTTCCAGATAATAGCAGCAGATTAATTTCAAAATACACAGTAAAACAAAAACATGCTGCATTCGACTGTGACAACTGACTCAAGGAAAGGGGGGAAAAAAACAAACCCAAAAAGTCTTCTTCTGATAATCCTTTTCTCTAAATCACCAAGCATGTTAATATTTCCTGGAGTGCGTCGATGACAACT